GCCATCTGGCTTCCTGTCGGCAGCTCCTGGCCTCTAAGCTCAAGGTGCTGTGTTCAATTTTAGTTGCGGGTGGGCGTAGCCACCATCCCATGCAGGAGTCGAACCAGCAGCCTTGTTGTTAAGAGCGCGCACTCTATCCATTCGGGCGGCAGCTCAGCTCAAGGTGCCGAGTTCAGTCTTAGTTGCGCGTGGGCGTAGCCCACCATCAAACAGGCAATCTTGTTATACCAGCTGAGCCATCCTGCCACCTGTTGGCAGCTCAGCAACAACTCAGCTCAGGCACAGTGTCACTCGTCACTGGCCCATGTGGGAATCGAACCAGCAGCCCTGTTGCTCAGAGCTTGCACTCTTAAGCCAACTCAACCAACTGAGCCATCTGACTGGCCCAAAACTTTAGTCTTTATGAAGAAGCCTAACACTACCTTTCTTTAAAAAAAAAAAACAAAACAAAACAAAAAAACTTTATTGGGGAACAGTGTATTTTTCCAGGACCCATCAGCTCCAAGTCAAGTCATTGTTTTCAATCTAGTTGTGGAGGGTGCAGCTCACTGACCCATGTGGGAATTGAACCGGCAACCTTGGTGTTAAGAGCCTGTGCTCTAACCACCTGAACGAACCGGCCGCCCAACACTGCCTTTCTTTTGCTTCCTTGCACACAACAATGTTCCCATGATATAGAAGCAGGCCTTTGTTCCTCTGCGCCTTTGCTTGTGTTGTTTCTTCAGTCTGGGATGCCTTTCCCTTCTATCTCAATCTACCTTGGTCCTTTTTCTAATCCTTTAAGGCCCACCTCAAGTGCCATAGGATAAGGGGGCTGAAACTTCTTGGGAAATGCTTCCCCAACATATTACATATAACTATTTAGCACTTAAGGTTACATGTCTCTCAAACTAGAGTATGCATTTAAGGGCAGACATCAAGTCATTCTAGTTCCCACATAACACGATGCCTCACACTGGGTATGTAGGGATATATATCTTTTTTTTTTTTAAGATTTTCATTGGGGAATTGGGGGGATGGGAACAGTACTGGGGAATTGGGGGAAGGGGAACAGACAAGTTGCTGTAGTTTTGATCCTCAGTCTAGCTGTGGAGGACGCTGCTTCACTGGCCCAAGTTGGCACCATCATTGAACTCCTCCCAGGCGAGGCAGATCAGTCACCGGCCTCCGGACGGCCGCTCACTGCGGCTGCTGGCCGCTCACTGCAGCCGCCAGCCACACACGGTAGCCCACGGCAACCCACTGTCACAGGGGCTGCAGCCTACACCATCGCCAGCGACTCACAGCAGCCCAGCTCCAGGTTGAGCTGTTGTTCAGCATCTTAGCTGTGGAGGGCAGTGTCACTGGCCCTCATATGTGGGATCCGAACCGGGGCCCTCTGGCATCCCAAGCCAGTTCTTAACCATCGCGCCACTCAGCTGGCCCTATATATCTATTTTTATTGAAATGAATAAATAGGTGAAGTTTCAAGTACATATAATGAAGACAAAAAAAAAATCTTCCTTATTTTCCATTATCACAAATGATTAGCAATGCTCATTTATATCTGTGATGAAAAAGA